GGTCTGTACAGTAGAAAAACCATTACGCCTATGGAGAGTCCCCACAAGGATAGCTGACCAGACATGTGTGTGTGTGTGTGTGTGTGGACATTAGGGTAAATAGTCTTGTTCTACAATCAAGAACACATTTTCCAGACTGCAAGCTGAGAGTACTATGCTCCATTGCATGCAAATGTGTCAAAAATATATTGTGACTAATTTGTCACATATTGCAATTGCAATCTGAACTGTGATATGATAAACATTTCTTCATTTCTAGACAAAATGTCATACTGTTGCTGTTGAAACATTCAGGCAAAAAGAGACCGCTCTCTGTTGCAAATGAAAGTAGTTGATTTTTAAGGGTGTTTGTTCTCCCTTTTCTCACCTCTTTGAGTGATACTACTACTGCTACTACTACTACTACTACTAATATTTTACATTATTTTTAATACTAATTATAAAAAATGAAGACAGGAATATATTACCACTGTAATAATACAATTTTAAATAAACTGTACTTTAAATTAATATTTGATAATTATACAAATGTTATTTTACACTATGCGTAACAACAATAATAAGTTTTACATTTTTTACTTGAATGTTAAACTCTCAAGCTTTTATTTTGGCGGAACTCTGCAGGGAGATATTTGAGTTTGTTTAGTTGACAACAGATTTATACGCCTTTTTGTTACAAATCTAATAAAATGATGAAAACTTGCATCCATAAAAATGTGGGGAATTATGCAAATGTGAAGATAAAGTAATCCTGATACACACTGCATTCCCAAATGCACATGCAAAGTTCATGTTGAGCAGCATTTACTGCGAACAAGACACCGGAACACAGTATAACTGAACACAGTGCCACACTTCACTGAAACACACAGTGCATGAGACTAAATCACATTTAGTGGTCTAATGATCGCGCTAAGACATATTGCAATTTCAATTTTATTTTGATTGCAGTCCTATCGATTTATTTTAATTAGACATTTTATGATTTCATTATGAGCTTTCAATGAACTCATGAAGCCCCTGCATTTCCTTTGCGAAACTGTTTGGGAAACCATGACTTAGATTATTCAAATATTAAGGCCTACATATGCAACCTTTTTAAACTTTTCAGACAAGAGTTTGTCAAGTAAACATCAAAGTTTCTTTGATAACACTTTATTTTGATAGTCCACTAATATTACATTGAACTGATTACAAGTACCGTTGCAACTACATGTCAGCTAGCAGTCATTAGAGTGTTAGTAGACTGTCTGCTTAATATCTGCTAACACTTTATTTTGATGGTCCCCCAACAGACATTATATTGGCTATAACTAACTTTGCAAATACATCAACTTATTCTAATAACCCTAAACTTAACCAAATAGTCTACTAATATTCTAATGACTGGTAGTTTACATTAGTTGTAACTTTAGTTGTAACGAGAGAGTGGCGTTCCAGCAGATGATGTAGGATATAAAGTAAGCTCCGGAGAGAAATGACGAACGCAGAAGCGCAAAGGAGAGAGCAAAACAAAATGCGGGTCACGAATTAGAAGTACAAAATGAGGATTTGTAAAGAAAAATGGTGGAGGATTTTGATATAAGCCAAGAGGAGACTGCTTTTTCCTTTGCTGTAAACAAAACTTGGTTCTTGTGAGACTAGCATATTCTCACCGGAGCTTACTCTACTCCTAATACCGAGTTCACACTGCACGATTTTAGCCCGATTTTTCACTCGCCGACAGGTTTTGCAAAATCGCCGACAAATGCCCGAAATTGGAGGCAAATCGGTGCTCGTTCACGCGAGTGACAATCACGCAGTGTGAATGATCAAAGACGCGATCTGAGGGAATCGCCGACACGTCGCCGACGCCCGTGAAATATTTGGCATGCTAAATATCTGGAGCTGTCGGCGATTCACGATCAGGCTGTGTGCAATGATTTCTGACTGAAAACTACATCGGCGATGACCTACAGCCAATGAGAGACCAAGATACAGGGCAGCGGGAAGTTCGGGGAGGAGTTATAGACCAGAATATCAGTATTTTAATAGATATATGAAGAATTATATCATACAGAAACAAGCACAAACATTTGCTTGACCAGCCACAACATCAGCATAACAGTTACTGCAAAATTATTTACCTCCAACTCTCTTTGCAGAACACCCAATCCCTGTTCTTTTTCTTTTTTTTTTCTTTTTCTCCTTGTAGCTGGAAATCAGCTCACAGACAATTTGCGGCCTATATATATATCTTTTTTTTTAATAATCCCAGTCTCGCTCGAGAGCTGACGCACGCGGGTTCTCGCGTATTTCCTTATCACTTCTCGCGTGTGTTTTGTTGTGAAACGTAGTTTGCGGACCAGACAGAGCTGTCGGCGATTGTTCCTATTGTGAAGTCATGCAATGTGAAACCCCCTGTCGCCGATCCATCGTGCAATGTGAACTCCGCAGCAACTGAATGCTACCCCAGATGGTCACTCAGTGTGAAAACAACGGCGATCCGACGAGTTTGAAAATCATGCAGTGTGAACTCAGCATAAGTCATCCGCTGGAATACAACTCTCTCGTGAATGCGCATATGACAGTTAGCGGAAGCTAGAAATGATGGTTTATAACGTTTTAAATATGGATATTTTTCTTACACAAACACATCGCTTCTCTTCAGAAGGCCTTTATTAACCCCCCAGAGCCGTGTGGAGCACTTTTTATGATGGATGGATGCATGTTTTGGGGCTTCAAAATCTCGACCCCCATTCACTGCCATTATAAAGCTTGGAAGAGCCAAGACATTTTTTTTTTAATATAACTCCAAGAAAGTCATATTCACCTAGAATGGCTTGAGGGTGAGTAAATCATGGGATAATTTTCCTTTTTGGGTGACCTATCCCTTTAAGTTTAGGTATGGGGTAGGATTAATTCTAAAATATGGTCATGCAGAATAAGGCATTGATATGTGCTTTATAAGTACTAATGAACAGCCGATATGCTAGTAATATGCATAAACAACTAGTTAACAGTGAGAAATGGTATTTTATTGTAATATAGTAACTTCTTACCCTTCATAAGTGTGGTGGCTATTTTCAGATCACTCCATTCACTCCATTTACTCAATGAAGTATACTTCACTCGCATTGTGGTGCTGTAATTTGTCCCATGAGAGAGGCCACACACATTTATTTTGTTTTCTTGTTTAAAGAAGGTAAACACCTATAACAGAATGAATATTCGAGACTCTTTTAAAAAAAAAGAAACCTCACATACAGTGCAGCTTTTAGAAAAACATTTGTTGTGAAAAGCAGTCGCTTACCAGCTCTTTGTTTAGCTGGTTGTTCACTGTTTTCAATCTCAACTCTACACTGAAATGCGTCATCAACCATTGCTGAGATTTTGCAAGACTCCAGCTGTAATTTAAGCAGCCCAACACATCTGCTTCAATCCTCTTAATCTCCGGAGGGTCGAACATTGCTGAAATACAATACATTGAATCAACAACTGTCATTGTCTATTTTTGCATTCAAGAAAGGTTTTTGAAAATATGAATTTGGATGCAGCATAAAGCAGGATTGCAAAAAAGAAATGGTACACCTAAAATTTTATTGAATTAAACCCACTTCACAAGATATTGAACTAGAATTTGAAATGGAATGACATGACATGAAAAGGAATTTACTGAACTGCAATTCAAAAAAGTTCTGATTTCATTAGTGCAACAAAATAATACATAATTCATTTTGACTAATTATTATTTAAAATATGTTAGGAAAATATCAGTATTGTTTTTTAAATAAATGCCCTGAGGCGAGACACTGCAGGTGAATCGGGTAAAAACAAATATCTACTAATTAACACCTTACCCAGTTGATTGATTACATTGATAATTGCAAAAAAAAAATTGTATTACAAGTTTTCTGAAATGTTATGTTTAAATATGCAAATGAGGCATTATTTAATTAAATATGCACTAATTTGCATACATTTCTAGTACAAAATAAATTATATGACATCTGAACACTGGATGAAGTCAGTTTCAAAATTATTGTTTTGTTTTTTTTTGACATATTAGAGGCAAATGTTTTTGCAGAGGGAATTTTGGGTATCCATAATTCAGAAAATACTTTGAACAGCCAGAAAATCAATATATTTTCACAATTTGGGGGGAATAAAATGTTGTATATAATCAAGAAAATTATATATGAACAAATCCCTCTGTAAAAACCTTCAGAATATAGACAGGAGTAAACATGTAATGTTTGGTGTGTGTAAGTGCTACTGAAGTGGAGATTTATGGCTCAGTGTAGGAGAAAAAACTAATTTTGAGAAAACGTTCAACCCTCATCCGTCCCTCCCGAACCTTTAACAAAAGTGTCCCTCGCGGGTCAAAATGACCCGAAGGCCAGAAATGACATTTTATGTTTGGTCCAGAAAGCTTATATTGGTCCATTTATATATATATATATATATATATATATATTTATTTATTTATGTA